TCAACAGCCCTAAAATATCAATTTTCGCCATGTTTTTAGGTATACAATGTTGTATAATTCAGGCTATGAATTATGTATGAACAAACCCTTCTGTAAAAGCCTTCATAATATTGATAGGAATATAACTGGAAGGGTTGGTGTATCTACGTGCTACTGAAGTTGACATTTTTGAATTCAGAGTAGGAGAAAAAACTCATTTTGAGAAAACGACCTTTAAAGATTGCAGTGAGGCGCTAGCTAAACCCTCCTGTTCTTTGGATGATAGCTTGCGCATCGACGCACTCCGTGAAGGTATTTCATGTTCGGGATCATTTGTTTTTTATAACCTTGCTTCGTGCAAGTGACAATTGCTGTCGTCTTCTCTGTGAACGTTTTTTTCGCCGTTCTTTTGCCATTTTGAGATTTCAATTTCTAGCGGAAAGCTAACCAGGAAGTGTTTTAGCACACCACGTGACGCATCTGAACGAATCACGTTGTCAGAAATTGACACCAGCCAATGATATTTCGTTTCTTGGTTTAAGACCCCTTTGTGCTTTCACGATTGGTTGCTGATACAAAGGAAATGACCATATTTGGATCTGATGAGATTGTGTAAACCCCCCTTTTACCAGGTGCAAGTGATGAATACATTAATCCATCAATAATTATAATACAATAATACAATATCAGTTGTCTAAAATTGCTATTTTGCATAACGAGCAAATTATTTTAGAACATAAAGTATATTTCAATACCACCTAAGTGCAATTAGTCCTAGAATGCAGGACTTTTACTTGTAGCTGAGTATTTTACACTGTAGTATTTTCTTTTACTTAAAGGGGACCTATCATGCAAAATGCACTTTTGTACGTCTTGTATACATGAATATGTGTCCCCGGTGTGTCAGAGAACTCACCAAGTATCAGAAAACACAACCCTCTCTCTTTTCCTCCATACCCAAATCTCTAAAAACGGGGCTGCAACGGATCTGATACAGACTGATACAGATTTGAAAATAGTCTGACGTCAGTGACGAGGAGCTCCGCCTATATGGGCAACTCTCCACCTATCAGGGGAATGAGAGGTTGCCGTGGCATGGTAACAGCATGGTAACATGACACTCGTGCCACGCCCCACTCCTTTGCAGGGGGGTGTGGTCAGCTGCAGCTCATTTGCCACAGAATCAGCCCTTGCAAAAACAGAGCTGGAAAAGAGCAAATAGAGTGAAATGAGGCATGGCTAAAATGCATCATCTGTTTGGTATTTTGAAAAATAAACTTCGCAGACATGTTTTATATAGGTATGGCCCTACAATATATTATTCAAATATAGCATGATAGGTCCACTTTAAGGGTACTTCTTCCACCTCTGGGTGTAGATGTATCTCCTTTTTTCTTGCAAATGTTGTGTTATTTCAAATCACTCTCTGTTGGCTTTCGTTTCTCCATCTGATCACCAGTAATGGAAGACAACTGTGGCTTTAAAAGTATTTCTGCTGCAAAATACCTTGGAGACATTAGACATACATACAATTGAGAGTACATACAATTAGCATCAACGTTCCTTGGCAATAGCTTGCCATACCAAATCAAGGTCGTCTTTTGAGCTTCACAGGGGTTCTTTTAAAATATTATTTATTTCAAGATGAAGAAAAACTATTCATGCTTAACATTAGGCCTCGGTGGTATATGAATAAGAGATGCTGATCCGTCTTCTGGATAGATCCGACTGTATAACATGGCTGAAGCCAATGGAAAAAAATACAAAGCGAATCTTGATGTGGGATTGTTTTCGCAAACATTCTTGTCGAAACAAATATGGTCAGACGAAGATTACAAGACGCAACATACCAGATACTCTAATCATCCACTGACAGCTCATAACTCATACAGATAACATACATTATCTATCAGTCTTTTGTTTCTATATATTACAGGAAATAGACAATGAGATCATATAAATATGAATGAGACTCTGCCATGCTGTTAATACTGAGATATCCAGTCCTTTACTGAAATATCTTAGGGAGTATTAGACCATTTTGGGAAATGAAACCATGTGATTATTTAATCGTGTTGGCATCACTGTAATAAAGCTCTGTGATTAATCAGGTATTTCAAAACACAGAGTGTCCTATATGGTTATTTAATTCATCAAACAGGTTATGTAGCCATATATAGTATTGGACTAACACCAAATGTTATTCTCTGTGTGCTCATTGGGCGGCCCTGTCAGGTATCTGAGGCGAGAAATCCCTATTATGGAGTGTTGACTCCGGAAGGGCAAAGGGTGTTGGCGGCTAAATCGCAATTTGTTATCACATACATTTGTGTTGTTATTAGGGATGCACGATATTGGTTTTTTGAAACCGATACCGATAACTTCCTGCTTCTCAAGACCGATACCAATACCGATAACCAATAATAATATAATATATATTAAATGTAACTGTAGTTTTTGCACACCTGGTGGTAAAAAAAAAAATAGTAGTGAGCAAATGACATGAGCATTATTACTATGAACAAAACAAAGCCAAGAACAGTTTTGACTCTCGTCAAGCGCCATCATTTCTATGATGAAGTTAGAGATCGTTTTAGCCCTGGGGTCGTCTCTGGCAAACTTCTTGCCTTTTTCAAAAGCCTCGTCGATAGGTAAAAGCCCCGTTGCCTTTGCAGCTGGCTTTGGATTCGCCGCTAGTTTAGCAGCGCAGGCGTCTTCGTACGCTTTTAACACACCATCGTAGCGATGGCGATGTTTCAGGTGACTAATCAGGTTGGAAGTATTATAGCTCGTTGCCTTTTTCCCTCCTCGTGGAACTTCTGCATTTGTTAATACAAATAGCAAGCGAACTATCTAACTCTGAAACTTTGAAATAGTCCCATACTACCGGCGACATGTTTGTTTACTGTCCTGGCTTCACAGCCGCACACCATTTACGTCACAGCCAGGCATGAGTTAGGGAGCGCTGGATTTGTGAAGAACTCCCCTCTTCCTAAACCACTAATACCACAGTACTGGCAAAACGGGAGGAGCCGAGTGAAAAACAAGCGCCCCTCATCCCAATCCACCCACACCGCAGTATTATTTTCTTTTTTTTTACCCAAAAAATATATTGTATATTATCGGGGCTATTAATACTGTTATCGGGATTATCGGGATGACGTCATAATTCCTAATATCGGACCAATAATTATCGTGCACCACTAGTTGTTATCAATAAATTAAACAATGGTTAAGCTATACAACCTATGACGTGTCTGCAGAATGCTTTAGCAACTTAACGGACAGCAAATGGCAGCAGTGCAAGCTTAAAAACGAGCATAGCACACCAACAAGCTAACAGTACTAGCTTGCGCTCCGCCAACAGCTTGTCATGACCACCACAGAACATCTCACTCAGCAAATCATATCTCAATCAAACATTGTGCTTCAGGAGCTAACAAAGACGAAATCTTGCAGTATGTGTTTTGAAACTCAGCTCTTCTTTACTTTCCTTCCTCGTGTGGACCTTCAGTGTTTCACCTCTTCTCTTTCTACCTGTCAGTATACTTTCTGCTGCCTTCACCTCTCTGTCTTTTTTTAGCTGACTTTCTGTCCTATTGTTCTTTTATCCTAACTGTCCTCCTCTTCTTGACTCTCAATTTAACAACATCTTCTCTCTCAATCTTTTCCACATTACAAAAGCTACTTTCCCTGTGTTTCCTCTGCTCTCCACTCTTTCCCTCCACCCCTCCCTCCTTCTGATCCTCTCCAGCAGAGTTCAGTCAGATGTGATCTGTCAGTCTGCAGGGTTGCAGCACCTCCACGCTTTCACCTAACACGAGGTGACGAAGCCTGCGGACATTTCACCACAGCGCATATTTTCATAGCAGAGAATGCTTTCTGGTATACTGATGTGTCCCAGATCGCTGCCTCTGCTATCATATCTCCACCATACTACACCTTCATGATGATACCATATAAAGAGCGTTTCTGCTCTTGGCTGTTTCTAACTTTTATTGAAAAACCCTGAAGCAATGGAGGTAAGATTCAGAGACCAAGGCTTACAAACAATAGGAATTCATGCTGTAATTGGACCTTATTACACAGCTTAGTTGAATACTTGATTCTGATTTGTCATTTTGCACATTCCAGAGGTCTATTATTTTAGCTAGCAGACCAGAAAAATATTAAGAGAACTCACCACATGCTCATATTCTGGTAATAATACTTGGTCATGTTTAGGTTCATTTGTAAAATGATGTGCTAACACAAGGAGAAAAGGGCGGCTATTGCTCAGTGGGTTAATATGCTGATCTATCAAAGGGTCAGTGGTTTGATCCCCTGAAGTCAACATGGCGAAGTGTCCTTGTGCAAGATACCTTAACCCAGATTGCTCAAGTAGGCATGTCTATGGTTTTGAAACCATGACCTAGAAATGACCTGTTAGTCACAAAGTATCCAATTCCTGTTTTATTGTTTATTTTAAATGGGAACATCATTTACTAAATGAACACCAAATGTCACCATTGAAGACTTGAAACTACAGATTGAGACCATCTCAAAAAGTTTGTTTTAATAGTTTACAATTTGCTTTGGAAGTGCCGTAAGCCTTTTTTAGATTATGCAAACACAGCGATTATTAGAGAGGCTCCTGATAAGGTCAAACGGCGTTAGGCTTTCTTTTATCGCTTTTATCGTGAGTTTAACTTTCCATTTGTAAAAGAAAGATAACTATGTGTTTTTCATGAGTACATCTGCATATGAGGACTATATTAATAGGGTAGATGATATTTGATCACACTTTGTAGCAGTGATAATCAGCAGTAACTCATTATCCTCGCAGTCACAGACCTCATGAGAAAATGGGTGAAGAGTGATTAACCGGCATAAATTAATATTTTTTAAACTTGCAAATCAGGAAGAAAGAACAAACATCCCTGATGAGTGTCTTTCTCACTAATAAGGGCAATTTTATTTGATGCCATGTGAGACAATGATAACATTCAGTCCTTGTTAGTAATATTCAAAAAAGCTCTTACTTTGCCGATGTACTGGTAGTCGCTGCCTGTGTACTCCTCCTGCAGGAAAAACTGGTTCCACATCCAGCCTCGTCTCACTCTCTTGAGCAGCTTCTCTCCTCTGATGCTGGCTTCAGTCCCCTCTCCATCTGCTGTCTCTGTCCTCCGTCCATGCAGACACAAAGCGTCCAGGGACAGGCCGAGACAGAGCCATACAACGGCCAGCGAGCTAGTCCTCATTGCTCTGGAGGATGTGTAGGATGTGACAGGTCACAAATGTTTTATCTTCCCAGCTGTATCACTGTGAATTAGGAGATGGCTCCTTCAGTCATAGTCCTCCAGTCTGTCCTGGCGTGTGTAGAAGCTGTAAAAGAAGAAACAGACATGAGTACATGGCTGTGCTAAACCTCTGAGGAGCACTTTTAATAAGATTGCCTTGTGAGGCCTGTTTTTGGATTGCTTTGCACCTAAACTACTTGTCTTATGGATTTGGAAATGTATCTAAATCAAGAAGTGGTAAACAGATAGAACACCAGAAACATTGCTCATGTCAACGGAGCATCAAGCCTTTGATTTGAGAATAAACATGAAATGCAGCCTTGGATGAATCCGCAAACAACAGGTGGTTTTGTAATAAGTAGCTAATTCACATTCTGCCGAAATATGACTCACCCAAAACAAAAACAGTTACAGCTACTGGATACAGGTCACAAATCTTCTGCATTTTTGTATACAATTACTATACTAAAAATGCCTATTACACAACTTCTTTGAATCAAATAACAACGTCAGCTGTGGACAACAAACATTAGTTTGTTTCCGTGGAATACTTTTTTAATATTAATATGTATATTTGTGGAGAACACAACACTTTGGATTCATGATGGCTAATTTGTCGCAGTAAAGAAAATAAAAACAGTGCAAGAGAGTGAGACTGAGCGCTAGAAGTTCGAGAAATCAACAAAAGAAGACAGAAAGGAAGTAAACACTGAAGGGAACAGCAGAAGAAGACAGACAGGAAGTTAACAATAAATGGAACAGCAAAATAAGACAGACAGGAAGTAAACACTAAAAGGAACAGCAGAAAAAGACAGACAGGAAGTAAACACTGAAGGGAACAGCAGAAAAAGACAGACAGGAAGTAAACACTAAAGGGAACAGCAGAATAAGACAGACAGGAAGTAAACACTAAAGGGAACAGCAGAATAAGACAGACAGGAAGTAAACAATAACAGGAACACAGAATGGGCTCTGCAGTGTTTAATTAAAGACTGGCTAATGGAAAAAAAATGTGAACAGACTTGGAGAGCTACAGAAAACCTCCATCAGTGCTGCTGTCATTTTAATGTCTACGTTGCTGTTGCCACAGTTCCAGACATTGGTACGCAGTGGAATGGACTATTTTGTTTTATTAGCGGAAGCATAACGATCACTTTTACATCAATAAAATCTTCTTTTTTTAAATTGTTTTTTTTGCAGGTTGCTGCACATTATCCCTTACATGTAGCATGGGTGTCATTAACAAACTGAATATTTATCTGCCCTAATTCAAAAAAACATTGCATTCTCTTCTTCTTGACAGGTTTTTAAGTTGTTTTAATTACCATCCAAGGTTGATGATATTCGCTCTTCTTTTTCTGACTCACCTTTACTCACCGCTGGGTCACCAGACCCTCCTTCCACCAACACACTAACCTCCTTTTCCCCTCTCTCTCCAAGTGAGGTTCTTACCCTCATTACCTCTGCTCGCCCTACCACCTGTCCTCTGGACCCTATCCCTTCAAAGCTCCTTCAGACTATCGCTCCTGATATTCTACCGTTTCTCACCCACTTCATCAACACTTCTCTAACTTCTGGTCACTTTCCAAACAGTCTCAAGGAGGCAAGAGTAAACCCTCTCCTAAAGAAACCCACTCTCAACCCGTCTGATGTTATAAACTACAGGCCTGTCTCTCTCCTCCCGTTCCTGTCTAAATCACTTGAACGCGCTGTCTTTAGACAACTCTCCTGCTATCTCCATCAGAACAACCTTCTGGATCCGCACCAGTCTGGTTTCAAGGCAGGTCACTCCACAGAAAGTGCTCTCATTGCTGTCACAGAATAACTGCACACTGCCAAAACTGCATCCCTCTCCTCTGTCATCATCCTTTTGGACCTGTCTGCTGCATTCGACACGGTGAATCATCAGATCCTCCTTCGCACTCTCCAAAAACTTGGAGTTTCAGGCTCTGCACTTTCCCTCCTCACCTCATACCTGAAAGACCGTACCTACAGGGTGACTTGGAGAGGGTCTGAGTCCGACCCTTGTCAATTAACTACAGGGGTCCCTCAGGGCTCTGTTCTTGGTCCCCTCCTCTTCTCCCTGTACACAAACTCGCTCGGATCAGTCATTAGCCCGCATGGTTTTTCTTACCACTGCTACGCTGACGACACCCAATTAATTCTGTCCTTTCCCCGCTCAGAGACCCAGGTCGTCGCACGCATCTCTGCTTGTCTAGCTGACATCTCTCAGTGGATGTCTGCTCATCACCTCAAGCTCAACCTTGACAAGACTGAGCTGCTCTTCCTTCCGGGAAAAGATTGTCCCACTCTTGACCTAACAATCAACATCGGCACCTCAGTTGTTTCCCCGACTCAGACTGCAAGGAATCTGGGTGTGACCCTAGATAACAACCTGTCCTTCACTGCAAACATCGCTGCTACAACCCGTTGCTGCAGATACACGCTTTACAACATCAGGAAGATACGTCCCCAGCTGACACAGAAAGCGACTCAGGTTCTGGTCCAGGCTCTCGTCATCTCACGCCTAGACTACTGCAACTCCTTCCTGGCTGGTCTACCTGCATGTGCCATCCGGTAACTGCTAGAATCCACTTCAAGACACTGGTACTTGCTTACCATGCTGCGAATGGATCTGGCCCTTCGTACATCCAGGACATGCTTAAACCGTACACCCCAGCGCGTGCACTACTTTCTGCATCAGCCAAACGACTTGCTGCGCCCTCGCTGCGAGGGGGACCCAAGTTTCCATCGGCAAAAACACGTGGGTTTGCTGTCCTGGCTCCAGGATGGTGGAATGAGCTCCCCATTGACATCAGGACGGCAGATAGCTTGCACATCTTCCGGCGCAAACTGAAAACTCATCTCTTTCGACTCCACTTCGAGCGATAGAACTATTAACGAAGCACGTTTATACTAATAAAGGACTGGCTTATCTAAAGCCAGTTGAGTACCACTTGAAATGTTTTTGCTCTATGAAGCCTGATGTACTTATATGATTCTGTTTTCTTCAAGTTGTATTTTGTTGGTCGAACGCACTTATTGTAAGTCGCTTTGGATAAAAGCGTCAGCTAAATGCAATGTAATGTAATGTAATACCATGAATAACGCAAAGGTGCTTTCAAGTATTTCAATGGCTGCTAGGGATGGGTATCGTTATGATTTTATCGATACCGATACCGATACTGCTTATCCATACCGGTATTTTTCGATACTCTTATCGATACTTTTCAATAATTTGGTGCTCAAAATTATAGACATGATTGCAAGATGTGAAGATTAAACAACAGTCTTTTTATTGTAATTTATTTTTATTTAATGTAACTTTTTCAATGTCATATCAAGCAGGTATGAGTGTGTTTGACAGTGTGTCTCTGGAAGGGGGGCGGTAATTAGGGGCAGTTCATAAATCCCTGTAAACATGATCATTATTCAGTTAAAACGAGACGCTGCGTGCGCAACTCCTAAATCGGAAGCTCCGGTCGGCTAACCATTATAGTCCGTTTATTGCGTTTATTATTTATAATTGTAATGATGGATTATCAGTAATCATTTTAAAGTTACACAGAGACATTGGATTAACCGTTTTTATGCCCTTGAACACAACTTTTGATCACAAAACAGAAAGGTAAGACATAATTATCATCATGGCTACGTAAAGTGAAGTTGTTTTCTTGCTCTTTCCTGGCTGCTAGTTCAGTGAATGTTGGTCGTACAGTGATGAAACGTATACCAATGGAATCTGTGGAATCTCAGCTTTCATGTGATATGTTGTTTGTGCAGATAAAATGACGTAGAAAAGATCGCTTTTGCCAGTGATGTGCTAAAGTAGCTGTTAGCCCCGTTAGCCCGTTTGGCTAAGTGTTGATTTTAGACTCTTGGTGTTGGACTTCTGTTCCGTGTAGGTAAAATTGTTAATATCATCTGTTAGCTGAGTTTCTTCCCGTTAAGTGGGTTTGTATCATTAATAGGTTGTTAAATGTTAAGAAGCCTTGAGACGCTGTTTCTTGCAAGATATTGCGTCTGCCCCTATGGTCTGCCCCTGGGAGTCTCACAATAATAAGAGCGCTGTTAGGGGAGATGACGAGTGGCATTCACAGGTATACCAATACCGTCCAATCAGGTACCGGTACTGAGTTAGTACCGGTTCTCGATACCCATCCCTAATGGCTGCACATTTTAAGTATTTAACTTCTTGTTGAGCTACTGTCCATGAAACATTTCCTGCTAATGCTTCACATTTAAAGACCCAAATGATAATTGTTTTGTGATGTTGATTTGATACCAGGTACCACACAGCAACGGTAAATCAGTATCTTGGAGGAACCATCCTATTACACATCCTGTTTACACACTCATATGACCTTTATTTTTACATAACATGGTTATATTCCCATGTGTACTGAGATACATGGGATTATTAATTGCCTGGCATATAGAGCACAACACACAAACGCACCCCCACCGACCCGCCGTGCAGTCATTAGTGACACGTGGGGAGAGATGTTTGACAAAAGCAGAAGAGTCACACTATCATTTCACATTAACACAACAAAGGCAGAATGCATTGAAAGGGCCACAGAGAGACAGAGCAGCAGTGACACCAGAGACAAGAAACTGAAGAATTATGAAAGGTAAGTGTAATCTTCACTATCTTTAAAAGGCCTTTTATCAGGATGTGTGTTTACAAAACACATGAATTATTCATGACTGAATGTACTATTACATGTAATGATAAAGACAGTAAGAATACCTCCTTTCTGCACAATTTATATGTTCTGTCTCGGGAACTAAACCTTTACAAAGCTGTACTTATTCATCCTTTCCGTATTGAAAAAGGATCAGATGACAATGTGTAATGTGAAAGGGTTTGCTTGGACCCTCTGTGAATTATCACCAACTCTGCACTGCAGTCCTCAATGTAAAATCTGCTCTCATCAACCTGGTTTCCAGCAGCGGCAGCAGCTGTTTTCTCGCTCTGATAACAGCAGCCTGCACTACCTGCTCTGCAGAAAACACACACAGACTTAGAGACAACTGGTGAACGGAGTGGAGTATTGATAGGCTTTATTTTTGGTTTAATA